GCCACTCCTCCCCCTCTCTTTCCTATCCTGTCCCTCCTGTACAGCCTATAGCCCTCAACATTCACCGCCCAATCATGCTTGGAGTCCCACCAAGTCTCCGTAATCCCCACAATGTCCGGGCTGGTGTCCGGGCTGCTGCCTCCCAGGGAGCACTCAGCCAGGACCCTGTCTGTGCCACTTACACTTGCTGTTGCAGACCATTGATACCAAAGTCTGAAGTGCATCAGAAGAGATAGCAGTGGGGAAGGGGCGGCCATGGGCTAGGGCTGCTGGCTGATGTTTTAGCTGGGCACGTCTCCCCTTCGACCAGTCTGCAGGCATGGAAAGAAGAGGCCATGTCCTGCAATGGCACTGGGCTCTGCAGGCACCAGGTCTCCCAGGGAAACCCCCACTCAAGGCCGTCTGCTAGAGACAGATGTTACTCACCTCCGGTTGTTCAGACAAGCAAAGAACTCATCGGGCACCGCACTCTTGCAGGCGGAGCTCTTCACCGTCTCCTCGCAGCTTTTCACCATCTCCTCGCAGCAGGAGCATCTCCCCTGCTCGTAGTCTCCCTGGTGCCGTAGGGTCAGCTCAAACTCATACTCAGTGTTGTTGGCATTTAGCATTGTGTTTACCAGACAACGACATTTTGATTTCATAGTTTCATGGTTTGTTTCATAGTTGGTCGGGTTAGAAGGGACTCGAGCAGATCATCAAGTCCGACCCCCTGCCATGGCAGGAAAGAGTACTGGTGTCAAACGACCCCAGAAAGGTGATTGTCAAGCCTCGTCTTAAAGACCCCCAGGGTAGGAGCCAGCACCACTTCACTTGGAAGTTGGTTCCAGATCCTAGCTGTCCTGACCGTGAAGTTGCGCCTCCTACGTCTAGTCTGAATCTCCCCTCTGCCAGCTTGTGACCGTTATTCCTGGTCACTCCTGGCGGTGCTCGGGGGAACAGGGACTCCCCCAGTGCCTGCTGGTCCCCTCTGACTAGTTTGTAACAGGCCACTAGATCCCCCCAGCCTTCTCTTGTGGAGGCTGAACAGGGTCAGGTCCCGTCGCCTCTCCTCATAAGGCCTTCCCTGCTGCCCCCTGACCATGCGAGTGGCCTCCTCTGGACCCTCTCCATGCTGTCCACATCCCTCCTGAAGTGCAGCACCCAGAACTGGACGCAGTACTCCAGCTGCAGCCTGACCAGTGCCGCATAGAGGGGGAGGATCACCTCTCTGGACCTGCTCGAGATGCATCTGTGGATGCACGACAA